GCATGTATTTTCTGAATAAACAATCCTACCCTTCTTCCTTTTTTATTAGATCTCTTTGGAAAAAACAACAACAACAACAACAACAAAAGTTACCAAGCCAAGATTTCACTGGGGAAGCCCAGAGGAAGTCTCCTTCTGAACTGACCTTGACTTATCTGGGTCTGGCCAGTCAGCCAGTTTCAAATCCTCGCCATGTATCAGCATTAATCTCACATCTCTCCAATTTTTTTCCCCACTGGAATAGCTAACCCATCTCTATCATTTATTACATGTATGATCTTGGAGAAATCGCTGTGAGTCTCAGTTTCTTAATCTATAAAATGAGGGGGTTGTTCTAGATGAATAAGAGGGTTGGGTCTATGTGACCTCTCCCAGCTCTGAATCCTATGATCCTTCCTTTCCCTATTACAATCATGAATTTTGCCCCACTGAGAATATTTAACCTGTGTTAAAATTTTAAACTTGCTTTAGTAGCCATACTTTATGCATTAGGATCTGAATAACAGAATACATTGCATCCATCCACCCCCTACATACCTAACTCTTGAATTTTTTAAGAGTTTTTCCAACATAAAAGATAGTCAGCAAATGAAAATTCCCTTCCTTAGGGGTCTTCTTCTTTTGTGTATGTATGTGTTTCAAAGGCATTCCAAGTTCTTCTATAATATTAAGATTGGAGGTAATTTGGGAAGACTATATTCAATTAGAATAGCCTCATCAAGTACAGGAACTTTAGTGATTTTAGAGAAGTGAAAATAAAGTAGTTTTTGTTATTTCTTTCTCAATAAAAAAGAGGAAAATGTTTCTACCCGCTGATAAGTCAAACACAGCTGAAAAAATTTAGCCCAAACTTCCCAGAAAAGGAAGGAAAAAAGTCACCTTTGTGCTGAGACTAAGCTTGGGAAATTTCTGCCTAAATGCATTTTTAAATAAATATGTACAACTGGGAATTTTTCTTTGAAAGGAGGACAGATGGCAGCTTATTACGGGTGGGAAAAATATTGTAGAAACTGTTTTTCAACAAGAATTACAATAGCTGCTTCTGCAAACTGGAACCTACCAAGACACTTTTTTCCCCAGAAAATACATCTGGTTGGGATGTCTAGCATCTTTTTGGAAACAAGAATTCAAACGATATAGCTGTTTTTATAAGTGCTTATGGGGCATGATGATATTCTTTTGGTTCACTCAAGTGTTTTTAAATATATATATATATATATATATATATATATACACATATGCATATATTTACACTCAAATAACCCTTCTGAAAATCCCTCCTTTAAGTCATCTCTCACATGAAAGAATGCAGGATCTAGCTATATTCTGGATATGTAGTATATTCTGGGCTGCACTGAGAAAAAGGTTTTTAAAACAATCCACATTTTCAAAATCTTTACAGAACAGCCCATAGCTTAGCCTAAAATTACAAAACAACTTTTCCCATCCTGGAAGTGCAAATTCAAAACTCTATATTACAGAAATAATACTTTACAAATTATTCATTAAGTTAATATTGAATATCTGTTATATACTTGTTCCTATGATGGGTAAGGACATAATAAGCATAAAAACAGCACCACCCACAAAGAGCTATGATCTGTTTTCAAGACAACACTACCAAATGAAACCATTAGAAAACAATACAAAGTAGTATATGGTCAAGAATGAAATTGTGTGATAAAAAAGAAGGTGCTACAGTTCAAGGAGGAGCAAAGGGAGATCAGTGAGGACTAAAGTAATCAAACAAGTTGCAAACTTAAGCACAAATATTAAACAACTTAAATCTAACAATTTAAATAAATATTTAACTAGTTTATTTTAAAAGATGGTTAGGATTTAGACTAGTGGCAAAGAAGAAATTCCAGGCTGGAGAGAGCCTGTGGCATGGGAAAACCCAAGAAAGCAGGGGGGAAAAAACCTGACATATTATATTCAGGTGACAAAAAGTGAGGCTGGGGAAGACCTTGTGGAAGGCAATGAGGTTTTTGCTTTCTGCATTGCTGAATAAAACAATGGACTGGATGGAGAAGACTATTGCAGGCTACAAAGGGCCCTAAAAAGCCAAGTATAATTATATCCTTTAAAGAGAATGTGTAAGTAAGAAGGTAGCATATTACATATACATCAAACTATAAATTAATGTGATTTTTTTAAAATCCCAGAACTGATATATTAAAACGAATACATCTTTTTATTTTCAAAATGGTCCCCATGGAAGGGGATACCCCATAATGACAGGCAACGGTTTGGGACTCCTCTTTTTGAGAGGAACCAGTCATTACTTTAAAATCAGGCTTCATTCTTTTTTCCCTTATATCTCTTAAAAAGCAGTAATCCTAATCAGCTGTGTGACCTAGGGCAAATCATCTCTGTTTTCTGGGCCTTCCTGACTCTTAAAATCAAGTATTAAACTATGTGAAAATATTGAACTTTGTTGGTCTAAAGTCCTATGCTTTCATTATGTTGTTGGAGAAATTACCAAATCAAATGTTCATTTCTTTGGCTTTTATAACAAGCATACCAGAACTTAAGCACTTAAGTGGTGACAAATCCTTTAAAGCAGTCACAATGGGAGGCTATATATCATAATCTTCTAAGCATATGACATACACTTTTGCATAATCTTTGGACAAATCTTTGTCCTCTAAAGTTGGATTGGGATTTGGAGAAAAAACAAAAGTCATGAAGACTCCAAGGCTAGTGAATAAAAACAAAACCTGTCTAACTACAAAACTAGAAATAATTATTTCATGTTAAGGTAGGAACAGGGGTAGCTAAGTGGCACAGTGGATAGAGCACTAGGCCTGTAGTCTGGAAGACCTGAGTTCAAATCTGGCCTCAGACACTCACTAGCTGTGTGAACCTGGACAAGTCACTTAACCCTGTTGGCCTCAGTTTCCTCAACTGTAAAATAAGCTGGAAAAGGAAACGACAAACCACATCAGTATCTTCAGCAAGAAAAGCCCAAAGAGGTAAAACAACTTAACAACAACAACAAGGTAAGAACATGGCCTCATTAAGCAAAGGATGACACAAGGCATATTGGATCTGAGGGGAGACCAAAAAGTTGGTGTTAGAATCTCAATGGAGAGCTTTCTGACATTTGAGCCTTTGTTTATTTAAAAATTAAGACTTCCAGGAAGGGCCTTGGGAGATTCACATTTGCTGTTCTCAAGAGCTCCAAGGGACAGCAGTCATGTAGCCAAGTTTTATCTAAGTAGCTACAGTGTTTCCTTTTTATTTATGATGAGAACAACCATAGAAACAGCCAACACAAAAATTATTTCTAAGACCTATCTGAAAGCCCTGGATCTAGAGTCAGTCAGAAGGTCTGGGTTCAAATCCCTACCCTACCATTTATTACCTGTATGACTCCAGGCAAGTCACTTCATCTACTTGGTGTTTGGTTTCCTTTTCTGTAGAAAGTGAAGATGATCTCTAAAGTCTCTTTTAGTTATGATCCCATAAAACTCCCCCAACCCCACAGTCCCCAGACATCAAAGTGAAGCACAAATGGAAACACTCAAGTATCAAAACAATTTTTGAAATGTTTTATTTGCCAGCAAAATTCAGTATTTTGCTTCTTTAAAAGTCAGTTATTCACTCATTCTAAATAAATAAATGCTTATTGACTTAAGGACATCAGAGAAACTTTTCCAGCCATGTGGACAAGCCATCTTTCATAATTCAATCAACTACCATTTAATAAGTAACTATACTGAATGCATTAACAAGACAGAAGGGCAATTATGATATAGCCCCTATTCCATGAACCTTACAATTTAGCAAGGTGATTCAACATTATAAAAATAAACAATGCAAAAAATATAATTATAAAAAACTACAATAATTATCAAATTAGCAATAATTTGCAGTAGCATGGCAAGTGAAACAATGGACCAACAGTGACAGGAGACCTCAATTCTGGTCTGTCTAGGCTCTGTCACTGACTAGTTATGTAACATTAAACATAGCATGTCTCCTCTCCGAACCTCAGTTTTCTCATCTGTAAAATGAGGTACTAATCTCTAAAATTAAACAACACTCCAAAATTCCATGATTTCAAGCGACAAGGTCAAAGCTAAAAGTTTCAAAGCCAAGTCTGCCTCCAGGAGTGGTAATGAATGTGCACTTGTTCACTGCAATAAAAGGGCTATAATGACAGTAACTGGGGCAAGTGGAGGTATGCAAATGCACTAAGCATCCGCCTCTCCCATCACCAGCCCAAATTCCACTCATCCTTCAATCCCCAACCCAAGTTCTGTCTCCTTCAGAAAGCCACCCCAGATTTAAATCAATGCTCTATTTCCCCCTTTTCTCCCCCACCCCCAACTGATAGTATTCATTGCTGATATACCTATATAGCAATTCTGCATGTCTAGAATTGTCCAAAAATAAACCTGGCTGTTTTGCTGAAGAGTAAGTATTCCAGGGAGAGAGGTAGGAGGGAGACAAATTTAGAACCCAAAATCTTATAAAAGTGAATGCTGAAAACTAAAAATCAATCAATCAATTTTTTTAAAAAAGGTAACTATTTTATCAGGGGAAGTATTCAAGTAGATGCTGGATAACAATTGTGGGAGATATTATAGATGACTGTTGCAGTAAATGGAAGGTTACAGCAGATGACCTCAATGGTTCTTTCTAATTTAGCAGTCTGAATCTACGAATCCAAGCTCGGGGAATGGGATATGCCAAGGCAGAAAGGCAAAGATGAATATGACATGTTCTAGGTTGGTGTGTGTAAGAAATTACTCAGAAAGAACAATAAAGAGTACAAGCGCATTAGACAAGAAACACCACCAGACAAGAAGCAAGGAGAATAAATGTGGCTGAAGTACCCAAACCAGATTTTTTCTTCATGTCTGTTTTTATTAAAATGTAGTACCTAGATTCTACAAGAAAACGAACCATTGAACTCCCTTGTTATTTAGATATACAGAAAAAAGAGCTAATTCAGCAATCATCAATGCCGGAGTACCCCATCAGGTACTCACCCAATCCAGAGATGTTTATTGCTTTCACTGATTTCTTCATTTTGTAAAGAACTGTACGGTCCACATCCAAAGCCTGAAATAAAGAAAATATTTTAAATGGTTATAATCCAAATTCTAATTGGGTCACTGCCATCTTGTAATCCCCTTTCCCCACACCCTACTTCAGAGGACATGATACAGCATTACTTCTCTGGGCAACTTCCCATATAGGTTAGGAGACAAGAATCTAAATTTAGAAATGAGATCTGGATTCTAATCTCAGGTTTATCTAACTAGTTGTATGACCTCAAGCCAGTAATCATCCTTCATTGAGCCTCAATTTCTCTAGGGGTTCTCAGCCTGGGTCTATTACCTTGTTTTTAAAAACATTTACAGGCATGGTGGATCACGTCTGTAATCCCTGCTACCCCACAGGGAAACTGAAGCTGATCGCTTGAGATAGGGAGTTCTAAGCTGCAGTGGAGCTAAAACCAATTAAGCCTCTACACCAAGACTGGCACAGATCTAGTGAACCCCAAATAGCTGGGGCTATCAGGCTGCCTGAGGAGAGGTGAACCGGCTCATGTTAGAAACAGAGCGTGTAAAAGCTCCCATAACTATCAGCAGTTGGGAGGAACCCATGAATGGCCACTGCATTTCCAGTCTGGGTGAGATAGGAAAATCCTGTTTCAAAAAGATAATAAAAATAAAATCATTGCTATAAATATTTCAACATAACTGGTATCCTTTGTAGTCCTGTTTATTTTATTTCATGCATTTAAAGACATTATTCTGAAAAGGGGTCTTTAAGGCTTTACCAAACTGCCAAAGGGGTCCTTAAGGTTAAGAACCTATGGCCTGGACGGTCTCAAATTTCTTTCTGGTTCTAAAATTCTATGATTCTGAATCAGACTTTAACTCTCCAGCCCCTGGAATGAAAAATTGAGGAAGATGAATCAGTTCAGAAAATTTTGGCTAATGAAAGAAAATGGGTGAGGGGAGGCACCTCAGTATGGCAAGGTTAATTCTCTCCTGATAGGAGAAAAAACTCTGTACAACTTAAGCCAACTCAAAAGATTTCCTCCCACATTACACTTCTATACTTGGAAACAGCCCCCATAACCATATACTATGCAAAAATAGGCATATGTAAAATAGCACATATGTAAAAACAGGCATGAGAAATAATCTAATTTTACTAAGTTCAAAAGTGAGGAAAAAGTGTTAACCTCTAATGTAGAGTAATGCTTACTGGCTAAGAAACAACCAATGTTATTTTCCTGTTCTCTGTTAAGCAGAAATACTGAGATAAAGGTGAGAGGCTACCTATAAAGGTAATTTTTAATTAAAATACAGCAGGTGGAAAAAGCAACTAGCCATCTTCCTTCTGTACACTGCAGATTTGTACCTAATTAAGACCAAACTTCAACAGGAGACACTGGGATAATTAATCAATACAGAAGACTGAAATAGTAGTAACTTCATTCTGCTAACATACAGAAATTGTACAAAAATAAATCAAACTCAAAGAACCAGAAGGTGGAGGTTTCCACACATCTGAAGGTGTCAAAGGCTGCAGAAAGTTAAGAAGGATGTTGTATGAGAAAGGCCATTAGATGCAATATTAAAGACATCATTGGTGACCTTACTAAGAAGTTTCTGTAAAGAGAATGGAAACCATATTGCATTGGGTTGAGAAGTGAGAAAACATAGGTTAATCTAGTACAGACAGTTTTTTCTAGTACTTTGGCTGTAAAAGGGAAGAGAAAGACAGGAATTTACTTGAGGGTATGATAGAGTCAAGTGAAAGGAGGATTTTTAGTGGGGATGAGAGGAAAGATTTGAGAGATTTGGGCATGTGTGAAGGCAGCAGGGAAGGAACCAGTGGATAAAGAGATGTTGAATTAGTCCTCAGTCTCTCTGACTCCATTTCTATCTCTCCCTCCCCCTATTCCTTTGGAGACAGCAGTTCCAGTTGAGCTATAAGGTTGGAAGCTAGAAGACAGATGTACAGATAGCTTTTTCTGGGAGTTTGACTGTGAATGGGAGATGAGAGAGAAAAGGGGATGGCATGGTCAAGTGAAGGTTGGGTTGGTTTTTTTTTTAAGGATGGGAGGGTGGCACATGTTTATAAGTATCAAGAAATGAGCCAGGGCATAGGGAGAGATTGAAGACTAGAGTAAGCGGGGGCTGATTATGGGGGCCATGTGCTAAAAGAGATGGGACCAAGGGTACAAGGGGTTAGCCTTGGTGAAGAGAAGGACCTCCTCTTCATTAGAGATTAGACTAAAGAAGAAAGTAGAGATGTGGAAGAGGGGAGAAGGGGGAACTTACAGCAACTTATTTTTTTCAGTAAATCATGAAGCCAGGTCCTCTGCTGAGATGATTAGGAGAATAAAGGGGTGGGAGATGGGGAAGGCTTGAAGAAATAAGGATCAGATCTTTAAGACAAGTTAAAAGAAGAATGAGTGGGGCTTGCAGTGACAGAATATATTGCATATAGTAAAGTTACTTTCCCTCTCTGGTCCTCAGTTTCCTCATCTATAAAAAGGAAGGGGTTGTATTAGATTATCTCTAAGATCCCTTTGTGTCTCTATAACTTTATGATGTTCTGTAACTGCCTATATTACTTATTGCTCTTAAATGCAACTAAAAATGAGGGAGCTCACAAGATGTAGCAAAGGCTCTTAGCAAGACCACTTATTAGGTTTGCTGGGCTCAAATTTGAAACTATAAAGAAAGGGAAGGGCATGAACTCATGCTTTGAACAGACAGTTATTAGAACAAAATAGAAATTAAAACAATGGATGAAAAATCCAATTTTGGCCAATCTGTCTCTTTCATCCTTTTCCAATCTATCAATTCTCCATTTAAGTTCAACCAAAACTGGGGGTGGTACATGAGAAGAAATGAGATTTTTAAATGTAGTAGGAACCAGGTGTGCTAGTACACTCCTATAATCCCTGCTACTGCTGGTCAAAGCAGATGGGTTACTTGAGTTCAGGAGTTCTGAGCTACATTAGGGCTAAAGTCAATTGAGTGTTCACACTAAATGAGACTAATATATTGAGTTCCTGGGAGCAGAAAAGAGATACAGGCTGCCTAAGGAAGGGCCAACTAGCCCAGGTCAGAATAACTGAGCAAGTCAGAGATTCCACACAGATACACAGAAGGATATGGCTCCTGAGCAGCTGCTGCAGTCCAACCTGGGCAAGATAGGGAGATTCAGTTTAAAAAAGGGGGCAGGGATAGTAGGTAGCCTCCAAATACCTATGAGCTTTTGAGCAATGATGAAAGGGCACAGATTACTATAAAAGGAACCAGAAGGCATTTTCAGTTCAAGATATGGCATGAGTCAAAACATGGAGTATAAGCTGTGATGTAGTAAAATCACCACTAGATTTTGAGTGAAAAGATCTGATTTTGAATCTCGAGTCTATCACTGACTAGCTGTATGTTTTAATAAGATTCTTTATTCTCCATGACAGTGACAAACATTTTAGGAAAGATTATATGTCCCCCTGTTTTATGGTACACTTGAAATTAATAAAAAGAGGATCAAAGTTTACTGTTATTGCATGTTTCAAGGAATCTGGTATGACTTTTATAGGTACATGCAAAGCACTGTTGGAGTAAAGCTCTTCATAGTCAACCATAAGCAAAATGAGATTATATATTTTCTATAATTTTTTGTCAATCATATGACTGTAATTGGATTTGCACAGTACCTTGGCACATAGTAGGAACTTAATTAAATTCTTGCTTTCTTCCTTCCTTTCTTCATCCCTTTTCTCTTTTCCTCCTCCCTCCCTCTCTCCTTCCTTCTTAGTTGTCCTTGAGATGATGTGATTAAGTTGTGTCTCTTGCCAAGATTTCTTTAAGTTTGTTTTTCTCTCCACTTCTCACTACTAAGGTGATATCATTAAGGTGATATATTATTCTGAAAGATTTTACAAGCAAGTTTTATTCCAAACCAGTATTATCCTTAACTAGCATATCTTTCTGCTGCCAAGCAGAACAAGTATCTGTCGGCCTTGATGGTTTGTTTGGGGGTTTTTGTTTTTGGCTTCTTTACTGTAACAACTGATTTTCATTTATTAATTTTCCTAATGAAATAGTAGCTGTTTATAAATTTTCTTTTATCCATTTCCCATTTTTTCAGCATCAACAACTTGTTTAAATGTATTAAGCTAGAGCTGTTTTAATTGTGCCTTATCTATTGTCTCATTTTTATTCTTGTATCCAATTCAGTTATCTTTGTTCTAAAAAGTTGATAGTCTATTACTGATCATAAAAATTAATAATAGCTAACACTTGATATAGTTCTTTACAAATATTATCTCATTTAATTATCACAATAACCTTGGGAGGTAGGTCCTATAATCCCAATTTTACAGATGAGAAAACTAAGGCAGAAGTTAAGGCAGACTTGCCTAGGGTCACACAGCTAGTTAAGTGTCTGATCTGAACTTGAACTCTGGTTCCTTCACGCCAAGTCCACTGCTTCATCCAACGCACCACTTAGCTGCCTCTAATCACATACAAACAAGACAGATTGTTGCTATCACATCAACTCTTTGATCCACTGGTATTTCTCAAAACCTCTGAGATTCAAGAACTCTTCACAAACATCTAATCCAACCTTCTTCTTTTGTAGAAAAGGAAAATAACATCCAGAGAGGGTAAGTCACAGAGCTAATTAGTGCCAGAGCTGGGACCAGAACTTCCAATCTCTTGACTTTTTTCACACTACCAAGTAAACTTCTATTTATTAGCACTAGCCACTTAAGCTGGTCTTGTGTTTAGTCTTTTTCACCCACTCACTCAGACTGAATAACATTGAAGTGCAATCAAATAGGAAAGAACAGTTTCATTCATTATACTCATATGTCTGTATCTTCTTGAAGAGAAGAGGCTGGTACACATTTGATTTTGTCACTATCTCAGCCAGACTGCACAATAAAAGAAGTGAAGAGTGAGCAGATGGTTGTCTATCTATTCCCTACCAAGGGATATTTCCCATCACCACCCCACTTTCTCCTCAGCAATTAAAAATTACAGCCCATTTTTTCATTAACACCTTCTTGACGATCT